AGAATAATGTTCTTGTTAATTTGCATTGTTTTGATCAGTAGTTAAATCCTAATTAAAAAAGAACTTGTAATCTCTTGTTTACAAATTCTATAAGGGTCATGCTCAACAGAAGTCTGCTCACTTCCATTGTTTCTATATTTTTATTTTAATTAAGTAGAACTCTTCTTTGAAAATTTTCTATTTCATTTTTCTTTCTAGCTTTTCTTCTTTTCTAATCTCTATTCTTGAATCCTTTATTTCTATCACAATTCCCTATTCTTCACCTGTCCTCATTTTCAATGATCTAAAAGATTTAAAAGTAAAATGTTATCGTATAAAGGGTATAAAATTTGGATATATTTTAATCAAAAATGTAAAGTAAATTTAAAATTCAGAAAAATGAAAACTTTTCACGTGTTAACAGCTATTTTTCTTCTAAAATATACAAAATTATTAAAATTACAAGGTAAAATATAAACTATAATGAATATCAAATTATAAAGTGAAATTAAATAATGCTGGAATTTTTATTTTAAAATTTAATTAATCTTATTAAACATTTTTATAAAAATAAAACTATTTGCATTTCTAGCATTCAACATCCATCTAGTTGTCAATGTTAAGAACTGGTATCACACTTTAAGTATATTACATCTAGACACAGATGCTTACAAATTTAAGAGCTATATGATTGTTTAGTATTGCAAAATATTCCTCAGCCATCATATGCAATAATTTCAAATACTAAGAATATCTGGAGTAAGTCCAGAACCGTGAATTGCTTTATGTGGAGAAAAGCAAGAAAATGGATACTCAGCACTAGTGGGAAATGAAACTTCATAATGCAAGCACCCATTGTATTCATGCTATGAGAAGGATTTGACAAGTTAATTAATCTATCTTTTCTCTTATTTAAGTGTTCTGCTCTTCAAATCCTCCCTGGATGGTTGAAGCTTTCTCCTTTTGTTATGGTGAGGGTAGCATAACCCATAATACTTCATAGCATTTGAATGCAACTGCTAATGAGTGTTAGGCACAAGCATGAATGTTTAGTGCCAGAAGTGCCTATTGGCACTTAATAATTTATTGTTTATGTGTTGTATACATTTGTGATTTGAGGGTCCTCTGAAGCACAGGGCCCAGAGCCTCTTTTTCCCAGTTCTAAGTATGGTACTGAGCTCATCTTTCTACATTTCCTCTCTTCCTTTCTTAGGCCACTGCCTCAGTGCACATCAAAATCACAGCCCCTACTCCCAGCCCAGTTTAAGGCCCTGATTAATTAATTTACTTTTTCAGCCATTCCATGATTTATTTAGAATTTGAACTGAAAAAGTTCTTCAGACTCTCACAAGTTGTACAACATTCTTTGTGAGAAGAGCAGAAGTCCCTCTAGTAAGGATGGGCTATCAAACTTTTGTACATGATGTTCCCTCACCTGAAACACTGTGCTCTCCTCTCCTCAGATATTTGACTCATTTAGATCGCAGCTCAATTGTAACTTCCACGAAAAAGCCTTCCTTGGCAGCCCCAATTAGTTCAAATCCCCTTTGGATATGTTTCCCTAGCATCTTGTTCTATGTAACAGAGAGAGGATTTTATATTTATTTCTGTAATTTGGTTAGCATTTGTCTCGCTCCATAGAGAGAACTGACACAAGGACCGTGTCTGAGTGTGTTTTGGCACACCATTACATCCCCAGAGCTTAGCCCATGTTGTACACGTAGAAGACACTGAAGATTTAATTAATTGGGAGCCATTTAGCTGCATCTTACATTCTGTTTTATTTCTTGCCTTTAGACGTTAGTCAATCATGTGGCTAAAAACAAAATCTATTTGTCTTTTAGATCTCAGCTTAATAATATCTTCTTGGGTAAGCTTTCCCACACCTAACTAATTCAAATCTCCTTGTTTTTTTATGTTGGAAAAAACTGTAAACTCCAATTGGCCTCCCGACATGATTTCACATCATGTGTTTACCCCTGAACACCTGTGCTCCAGTGAACTCTCCCCAAAGCTGTGAAAAATACTGTATTAAAAAGACTGGCTGTGTGGTGGGCAAAGTGCATTACAACACTCTTAGGAATATTTTCACTTGCTTAGCAAAACCTGAAGTTTGGCCACAGAGCATGGCCAATTTTAGCAATAGGTATATTTTCCCCAAATCAAATATTTTGAACACTGACTGACATGGGAACTAGGAAATACATTTTCTAACATGATCATATTTCTTTAGGTAGTTCAGGATTTATCCTCAGCATTCAGTTTTACCTGGACACCAAGCAGCCAGGGAAACACAAACAAATATTTCTGGAAAGTTTCTTGACTCCTTTTTTGCAAATTTTAACTTCATTACCATGAAATCATTTGTTTATTATAGAATGACTTTCATCCTGGTTCTGCTGAGAACTTGAAAAACTAGACAAACAAATGAATGATGGTAAAGTGTTTCTCTCCATTTTCTCACTACTCCCAATATTTAGTGGACACAGACCAAACTTTAATTTAGATCCCTGCCTCTTCTGCTTTCCTATACATGTCTGTAGGATATTTGGTCCCTGACTCTTTACACAATTTTCCTTGTACTTAAAAAAAAAAAAAAAGAAAGTAAAACTGGACTATAATAATTGGACACTGACATCACAATCCACAAAATAACTGTTGTTGAATTGAATCAGCAGTGAAAGTTCTTCACTAGATTTTTTTTTTTCCCATTTGAGTCTTCATCTATTTTAAGCAATGGCATAATGGAAATGGCAAATCAAGATGGACATAGTCAAAAGGGGTACCTCATTCTCATGAGTTATTGAGTGTCCATGTGGCCTGGGGGGACTGGCTAGGTTGTCTCAAACAGCTGAACTTTCTACCCAAAGTGACTGAAAGGTAGAGAAGGATTTTATTAAAATTAGTCAGTTGAGAGAAACATGGGAAAGCATCAGACTACACTCAAACTCAAATGATCAAGCTCTGGTTCATTGGCTCAATCAGAAGCTTTACTAAGTGAGACTCAGGAGCAAAATTTGTTAATGTGTTAAAAAATAAATTAGCAAAAAAATCTCATGCCAGGGCTTCCCTGGTGGCGCAGTGGTTGAGAGTCCACCTGCCGATGCAGGGGACACGGGTTCGTGCCCCGGTCCGGGAGGATCCCACGTGCCGCGGAGCGGCTGGGCCCCTGAGCCATGGCAGCTGAGCCTGCGCGTCCGGAGCCTATGCTCCGGGGGGGGGGAGGAAAAAAAGGGGGCCGCCCCCCCACCCAAAAAAAAAAAAAAAAAAAAAAAACTCTCATGCCAGAAGGCCTGACCTCCATTTGGAATTATTCTGGCAAAAAAAGTGTACCATCAAGTTCTGAGAAAGCGTGTATTGCACACCCTAATTCTGTGGCCTTAGAATCAGGGGAGGGAAAAAGATCTACATTTTTTTCTACTCATACGAAAACAAGGCCAAAATTGCTTTGAGGTCGTCACTTCACACAAAATAGCATTAATCTTTTTTTTGAAATCAAGGTAATATGTTAGATGTAGGGAGCTTAGCTCATCTGTTTTTATCCGGCAATACAATGGAAATAGAGGTCCTAATAACTGTCTATTATCTTGCTTCTAGCTATAAGAGACATACATCAGTAGTTTTATCTGCTGTAAAACAGCAGATGTTTCTCCTGAGATTCTACCTTCCCTTTAGAGCAAACAAAGCACTTTTCTTAGTGGTTGAGAAGAGTCAAGGAAGGAGTCCTACTGAAGCCTTGTCCAATACCCAGGAGCTCCAAATAGCACTGCCATATTGCTTCCCACCTGGCCTCAACTGGGAAGTGAAAGATTATTAAAATGTTTCAGTCATTTTCAAGTGCTGGAATGTTTTAACTTTTTGCCTTTACAAAAGCATCATGTAAGTATGCTTTTCTTTCCTTTTCCCCCCTCCTTTGGATTAGTTGTTTCTCAGTTACTTTTTAACCATGGGTAAATAAAGAAATGACTGAACTTGTTAAGTGCTGGTCCTGATATAATATGAGTAGTAAATTGAAATCCTTTCCTTTAAAATAATAAAATAAACTTTGATGATATACTAGAGGTATAGACTGCTAAAAAATCACGAGGCAAATACCGGACAATCTTTCTGCAGTATTTTCAGTTAGTGTGAACTTTAGGGATTATGGTTTTAGTAAATACTTTGCCTCCAGTGGATGATAATAACTCTGTGGCTTTTGTTAGCTATTTCATTTCTTGGCTAAAATTACTCTGAAATAAAGGAAAGTCTGTGTTTATTTTGTAACGATTTCATTAGTGGGTTATATATTGCATTTTCTCATTGGTCAGTTTTATTAGGGGGAGACAGGAAAGTAATTTCCAAGAGATTTTTATCAAATATCCAGTTTCTAAGGTAAAGTTGGAAACAAAATTTCTTCTCCTTATCATGTTGCTTAAGTCTTATTTTTTATTCCTACCCTTTATTATTTAACTGGCCTGTTATACAAAATAGGATTGTAAGATTGTCTCATAACATTGCTATGTCCTTAAAAATTTCCATGACCCATATTTTGGATTATACCTTCAAGACTTTTAAATAGTGAATAATTTTATGCTTATCCAGGACCCAAACTTTCCATTACTGTTCCTGTTTTCTGTGTCCCAGTTCATAGGTTTTTAGCATAAAGCAGCCATAAGAAGAAAACATATTTCAGAGGTTCTGAAAGCAAGAGAGATTTGGAAACCTCAAATCCCCCCACTAGTCTTGAGCCTAGCTATAGTCTGATAGTATTAATTTGTTACTGGGCCAAGGTGAGAGGGGAGGCCCAAACAGCTTCCACAAGTGGTATTTCAAAGTAAAAAGTTAAGACTCTCATCAGCAAAGTGAAACCAAGAACATCATTTTCACCAAAACATAATGCCCTTCACCCTGACCCCACAAGAGTTATTTGTCAAGAGCCATCATAAAATCATCTAGATACTGACCCTTTAACCCATGTTTCACACAAATGATTAAACCATCATTTCCTACTTTATCTAGAGCACATCCTCCCCTCTACTTACCACCATGGCTGCACAATCACATGGGAAGTAGTGTGGGAGATGCCTGGAGGGAAGAAAGGGCAAGAGATGATACCTGTTCTACCTCCTTCCCCCAGCTACCCTTGAACAGGTTGGGCTATATCTGAAAATTTTCCAGAGACTTCCTTCCACCATCACTATTGCCACATAGAGACTTGGTGATGGTTGGTCTGTGTGTCAACTCGGCTATGCTATAGTACAAAGTTATCTAATCAAACACTAATCTAGGTGTTGCTGTGAAAGTATTTTTGTAGATGTGGTTAATATCTACAATCAGTTGATTTTAAGTAAAGGAGATTATCCTCAATAATGTGAGTGGGCCTCATCAATCAGTTAGAAAGCCTTAAGAGCAAAAACTGAAGTTTCCGGTGGAAGAAAGAATTCTGTCTCAAGACTGAAACATCAACTCCTGAGTGTGTTTCCAGCTGCCCTGCTTGTCTGCCCTACAGATTCAGGCTTATCAGTCCCCACAATCTCATAATTCCAATTAATTAATTAAACCCTGACTGGTACAGAACCTTATTCCATTCTTGCTCCTTTCTTATTGGGTTGTATATTGTGAATTAAGAGAAGGAGTCATGAACAGACAAGACTATTCATGTTGGAGAACTACGGTTCTAAAAACTATGCTTAATACTCGGGAGGATTCCTGGAGGAAACTAGAACAAAGCTTTCCCCCATGTTTGACTATGTATATGTGAGGTACTACTGCATTAGATGCCTTTCCTATACCTTTGTTTGCCTTGTTTTAAATATGTTATTGTATTTGCACTATAGGCAAGGTCTCACAATTCTGCCTCAATTTTTTGGCAAATGTTTACAATACAAATCAGTTATTTTTGTTATAAAAACCCATAATTCTTGACAGTATGACATATATTTTGGCATCTAAATATTTCATTTTAATAGTGTTTGGGTATAGATGTATTTGATCTAATTATATTTAATTAGATCATTCAAGTTAATTGAAAATCAGTCATTCTTTTAATATGAAAAGCCATTTCCTGGAAATTTTTGCACAAACTTCAAAAACTAACTGAATTGTGAAAGTGGAAAATACTGATCAACAGGGATCTTGTAAATAATACTAGCTTTAAACAACTGAAAGATAGGATTTTTTATGCACAAAGCTGGTTTCTTGTGGCATGCTTCTAGAACCCTAAATAGGGGGAGGCAGCTATGATTTTTTTAAATTATTGTTTTGTATGAAAAACTGTCATGTCAGATAATCTTCCATCATAAAATGTTTAGGAACTTCAGAAAGTACACAGTTATACTGATAAAATTCTCTGCATTCATTCCATGATACTGAAGTTACTAATGATTCTTAGTTGAACAATCTCACTTGCTTCCCTGCTCTATGCTGCATTATGAACATTCTAAATTTGCAATCATTTATAAAGAAACAGGAAAAAAATACCAGATCCTACAAAATAGGATATAAAATTCTAATTTAATTAAAATTTAAATATATTTTAAAGTATAAAGTTCTGACTAATCTTAGAATCATCTAGGGTAACTGAATTAAATATCTCTCTTTTGAAAATAAATGCGAAACAAATGTAGTAACATACAAGACTAGAGGACTGATCTATTTACAACCATTTTACTTTTGAGATGTGTTGTAAATCTGCTCTTATTTTTATTGGCATTTAGTGTTCTTTGCTTTCAGAGCCATTTTAAAAAGAGAGAGAATATATACCTAATTTCTGAGCAGGTATTGGCTTATAATTGAGTCCAAAAAAAAATCATATTATTTCTGATATGGGAGGCAACTTATCATGTCGTTAAGGCAACCAGACCTGATATAAATCCTAGCTCCACCACTTTCCAGTTGTGAGACTGCCAAATTAACTAGTCTAGGCTTCAGCTTCTTCATATGTAAAAATAAGGATAGTAATATCTTACTCGCCGAATCATTGTAATGACAAATAAATCTTTATACATATATATTTAAAAACAAGTAACTAGGGCTTCCCTGGTGGCGCAGTGGTTGAGAGTTCGCCTGCCGATGCAGGGGACACGGGTTCATGCCCCGGTCTGGGAAGATCCCACATGCCGCGGAGCAGCTAGGCCCATGAGCCATGGCCGCTGAGCCTGCGCGTCCGGAGCCTGTGCTCCGCAACGGGAGAGGCGACAAGTGTGAGAGGCCCGCGTACCGCAAAAAAAAAAAAACAAGTAACTATTCACACATACCCATTACATACATAAAGCATTTAACATGGTACTTGGCAAGTAGTATATGCTCAATAAATGGTAGATATCCTCCCAATTTAGAAATTGTCTGTACCCAAAATCATTAAAGTTCTATTCTGAGAAAATATATCTTCTTGTTCAATATATTTTAAAACTAAATAACATACAAAATGTGTGTTTAGCCTTAGTCATCACTGTGAAACATAAAACACAAAGCTTTTTTGGTTATAAGCAACAGAAATGGACTAAAGTAGAAAATGAACTTCTGGAAGTTGTGATATACCCCCCAGAAACCATGGAAAGATCAGGAATCAGGCAGTTCTGGAGGTCTAAACAGACTTTTCTTTTCCTCTTCAGGATTTTGCTGCTACAACAATTCTATTCCAATTGTTTCAGTCATTCTGTCACTCATGATTCAAATTCCTAACATCTAAGCACTCTAGACTGGTTGAAGCAAAATAGAACCTCCACAGTCACATTTGCTTTGCTCCCCACGAGCAAAGTCCAACGGCTGTTCTATAGAAAGGACAAAGAGGTGCCAATGAGAAAACAAATGCCCTATATGTATAAAAGTATTGCCTTTTATTGTTTTTCAGAAATCACATGCCCTTATAATTCACAATAATCACACATACTGGATCGATAATAAGGGTCAGAAACTATGTTATTTCTTTCTTTCTTTTTTTTTTCTTTTTCGGTACGCGGGCCTCTCACTGCTGTGGCCTCTCCGGTTGCGGAGCATAGGCTCCAGACGCGCAGGCTCAGCGGCCATGGCTCACGGGCCTAGCCGCTCCGCGGCATGTGGGATCTTCCCGGACCGGGACATGAACCCGTGTCCCCTGCAACAGCAGGCGGACTCTCAACCACTGCGCCACCAGGGAAGCCCCAGTTTTATTTTTCATTCATGCTATCTATCCATGTGACGTGGCAAGGGTTCTGCTCTTTGTAGAATGATGGAGCATCTGCTGTCTGAAACAAAAGCTAGTTGCCATGCAGGGAGAAGAGAAAGATGGCGACTTATGCTCTGACTCCTCCCTACAAGTCATGTGGCCATGACCTATTTCTTTTTGTTTTATTTTATTTTATTTTTGGCTGGGTTGGGTCTTCGTTGCTGCGTGTGGGCTTTCTCTAGTTGCGACGAGTGGGGGCGTTGTGGAGCGCGGGCTTCTCATTGCAGTGGCTTCTCTTGTTGCGGAGCACAGGCTCTAGGCGAGCGGGCTTCAGTAGTTGTGGCACACGGGCTCAGTAGTTGTGGCTCTTGGGCTCTAGAGCGCAGGCTCAGAAGTTGTGGCGCATGGGCTTAATTGCTCAGCAGCATGTGGGATCTTCCCCAACCAGGGCTCGAACCCATGTGCCCTGCATTGGCAGGCAGATTCTTAACCACTGCACCACCAGGGAAGCCCCATGACCTATTTCAAAGAAGAAAAATACAAACCTACCTTGTGCCCAAAGGAGGAGACCAGAATATTAGTGAATAGTCCTAGTGACTGTTAGGCACAAACACATAACTAGAAAGTTGGGGAGCAGGATTCAAACTCAGGCATCCTAAAAAAATGAGAGGTCTCTTAAGTTTTGTGTACCTACCAAGGAGAGTGAGTAGGAGAAGGCAGTCACATCCTTTAGAGAGTTCCGTTCTCTCTTTGCAAAAGTTTTCTTTACCAGGTCTTGCTTAAATGCTATCACATTGGAGAAATTATAAAGTTTCAAGGCAGCCTTGCCCTTAGTACAAGTCATGCGGTTAGCAGTTACATTTTAATGCCAATAGAAAAAATGCAGAATAATCATTTTTATTTACTTTCTGGGGGTGAAATGCTCCTTTTGCATTGTCTAGGGATAACACAAATGGAACTCCTTTAGGAAAAGAAACTGGCTTTAGTATAATGAAGCATTCTATAACCTTGCATGATCAACAATAACAATCACTGACCTCCCTGGAGCATGTTTATGCTTACTTAATCTAAACAAGCTTCCTTATCAAGTAATTTGTGCTTGAAAGTAAGCAAATGAGGTTTGATTCCTTCTTTGTCTTTTGATAGTTGCATTGGATCTTACTGGTTTAGATTTCAAAATAGTTTTTCTGCACTTTTCTCTTGGTAGCCTCTATTGGGAAAAGATGAACATGCCCAAGTTTATACTTTACCGATTTGCAGAAGTGTGTTGGATGTTTACATATCTTCTGCATGACTGCAACGTAGGGAAATATTCTTTACAAATTTCTTGCAGAAGAAAAGAAAGATTAGCAAGGGGACTAAGTGCATAGATACCTACGTTTTCCACAGGGCAAAGTAAGGAAGGCTACACAGTACCAGCAACTAAATTACTTGGAGCAAACTTAAATAATTAACTTGGCTTTTATACTGACTTCAGGACTTTTCGAAACATGTATGTGGTTTTACTTTCTATATAAAATAAATGTAGCCTAAATAAAATTTAACATAAATTTTTGTAAACTTAGGAAAGTGAGACACATTCCACATTTTGTGGCTCAGCTTACATAGTCTGTGATCCATGTAAACAAATAAAATTAGTGCCTTAATCTCTAATCAGAGTCAAAAATTTAAGCTCTAGTCTAATTCTATTATGACTGAAGTAAATGCTAAGAGGGGACCTACTATTTTTATATCGTGTTTTCTTAGTATTTACAATAGCAACAAGCACACAGATCTTTTTTCTGGTGCCCCAAAGAAAAGATTTATTGACTCATAATAATAACATGAAGTGTTACATAACTACAAATTATTTTTAATATCAGCAATATCTTTAAGAACTATGAAAAAATGTGACCACAGTACATAAAAGTTAAGGAATTTATTACCACTGAAAATGGGTCAGTTAAGTTATAAAAAGTTCTGAGGAGG